TTTTGTGTTTGGGGGGGGGGGGGGAATTTTGGTATGTCGTTATTTTTTGTCATATGTAATCATGTGTTAATGTGTATAAAAATAACAATGGAAATTTGGGTTATTTTAGGGAGGAGTGGATTTTGAATGTCATTCATTATTATCTTTGTCTAATGATACAATCTTAATGTGTGTGTGTGTGTGTGTGTGTGTGTGTGTGTGTGTGTGTGTGTGTGTGTGTGTGTGTGGTGGGGGGGCACGGCAAAAAGTTAGCTTTTTAATTTATTTATTTATTTTGCCAATTGGGCTGCCCGGTGGTCCAGCGATTAGCGCGTCGACCTCGCAGTGCAGAGGTACCAGGTTCAATTCCAGCTCCGGCCTCCCTCTGTGGAGTTTGCATGTTCTCCCTGGGCCTGTGTGGCTTTTCTCCGGGTACTCCGGTTTCCTCCCACATTCCAAAAACATGCATGGCAGGCTGATTGAACACTCGAAATTGTCCCTAGGGGCGAGTGTGAGCGCGGATGGTTGTTTGTCTCTGTGTGCCCTGTGATTGGCCTGCAACCGGTTCAGGGTGTCACCCGCCTACTGCCCGAAGACGGCTGGGATAGGCTCCAGCACCCCCGCGACCCTTGTGAGGATAAGCGGATCGAAAAATGGATGGATGGATTTTGCCAATTTTAAAAGAGCTAAAAACGGTCAGGCCCAAGTGTGTACCTTGCTTAACTTGCTAACTTGCTGTGGGTTTGCCAGGGCCTTCAACGTCGAGCCACACCTCATCCCAGCGAGCTAAAGGTGATGAAAAAAGTGATCGAGGACCGACGGAACGAAGTGTTCACGTCCAGGCCCGAGGGAGAAGATCATTCCTCAGATGTGCCGGTAACGTAAAAAAAAGCCCTATCAACTGACGTCTTGTCCGCTAGCCATTTGCTTTCTCGGACTGACGCGTTGCGGTTTCAGGAGAAACGGCTCAGCGACCTTTCAAATCAGAGCCACGACTCGCAGGTGTCTGACAGCACGCTGTCGGCCGCCTCCCACGAGGAAAGGCGAGAAGTTGCCGTGCCCTCCCAGGACCTCGTGGACGGCCACTCCCATCACGAGGAGGAGGACCTGGATGAGATGGAGGTGGAGTACATTGAGGTGATTATATCCACATTTTAGGGCTGAGGCATGATGGCCTTAAAAGTAAAATTCACCCCAAAATATGGATTTGATTTTCTTGGAAATGCCATTTATGTGTTTTGGTGCTCCAAAAAAAGCTCTTTTTTTTCTGTGTACACATGGCAGGTATCGTTTCAGCATTATTTCATGATATTTCTTTCGACTCAACATTAGACTGACGCTGTTCTCTTGTTTTCTATCGGTTTGTTAGTTTTACTTTCTTTTGTTGTCGTATGATAGCTATTTGATGATAGATGTAAAGTGCTTTCGTTTCAGCTGCGGCTGTTGTTAGATGTGCAATAAAAAAAAAAATTATTATATTGTATCGTATTATATTGGCTACTCGCTGCCGATATCAGGCACCGATACTTAAAGCAAAAAAAAAAAAAAAAATTTGACATTCACTATGCCTCCTTGCCAGTAACTGGCGCTACGCCGTGGTGGTTCGACACGTCAGATGAATCATTGAAAGAAAGGTCTTGCTTCGCAATTATCTGTTGTTGCATTAATTGTAATTTTATGGCTCCAAAGTACTCAGTATTGGCGTCTGTGAGTATTCAAGAGTGACTACTCATAATGGTAGCAGTCTGAAAAAAGTGTTTGTAAACATCCCTATTTAAAAAAAAAAAAAAAAAATTAGCATACACAGATTAAATAGTACAATATTGAATAATTTGTGCATCGTGATAAATTTCATGGCCATTGTGCTGCTCATTTGAATCTTGACCACCAGGGAGCAGTATGTGCTAAAATGGATTCGTTGCCCTGTCTGTCAACTCCGAAACCTGAACCGTCTCCTTCCTCCAGCCCACCGTGCACTTTGCCGAGGAGCCCATCATCCGCAGCGGGGACGATGACGACGTCGAGGAAGACGGCAAGAGGAGCGAAGGGGACGAGGACGAGGACGACAGGCCCCCCTTCCCTGCCGAGAGGCAGCGGCTCATCCGGAAGGACACGCCACACTACAAGAAGCACTTCAAGATCACCAAACTGCCCAAACCCGAGACGGTGGCGGCCCTGCTGCAGGGTTTCAACCCCGACGTCCTCGGCTCGCCCACCGAGGACAAGCTGGACGGGCGTGAGGAGGAGGAGGAGGACGACGAGGACGATGGCGTTGGCACCCCTCTGTTGCGTCGCAGGATGGAGATGTCGGAGCTGGAAAACAGTCGATACCACGTCAACTCCAGTCAAGTCAAGGTAGGATGACATCATTTTGCCTTTTTGGTTATAGTACATATTTTCGTCAGGCTTCTGTACAACTATCCAACTCCTCCATGTTGGTTTAAATCGGTGTCACAACAAATGATGCTATACCCCCCGAGCCGAGCAGCTTCAAGCTGAATCTTTTGCCCTGCCACATCACTGACGCCCTTCAGCACCACTAAACCATTTCGCTCTCCGGGTTAGCAGCCATGGCTTCTAATTACTGGTGTCACTTGACACGCTTTGTGTGTTGCGTGCGCGCGTGAGTGTGTCTAGATTCGAAGGAACTCAAATGAGCAACAGTTTTATTTTGCAAGATTTCTGCTGATTCTTCACTTTCAAGAAAAACGTTGATTCGTCGGTATTGTGTGGACGTGTTTATGTGCGCCTCGGACCAACCAGAAGATGCTCAGGCAGAGCTGGGGATGCAATTTGCCCCGTCATTGAGTGTGTTTGTTGTTGTGGAAATTCAGTCAGGCTTTTTATTTATTTATTTATTTATTTTTTAATCTGTATTTTATTTTATTATTTATTTTATTGTATTTTATTTATGTATTCGGTAATGCCACAAACATTCAAAAGTTGCCTGGAAAAAAATCCCCCACACTGTTATGATCAATTCACATTTTCAAGAAGAAAAAAAAGCTGTCGCCCTTCCAGTTAGAAAAACTGGAAAGATGAAAAGTCGAAATCTGACAAGAATACAGTTGTATTTTTCCAGGATAACGTCGTAACATTATAATATTTGGGTCACGGTTTACTGAAGTGAGAAAGTTATATTTCAACAGGTGAATAAAAAAGAAATGAATCAAACAATGCAGCCAAATTTGTCTCAATTTCCATTTGGACAAAAGCAGTGCTTTGATACCATCTTGTGGTCAGCATTGGGAGTTGTATAACCATTTTGAGAAGATATTTATGACGGGCTTCTAAAAATAAAATGAAATAAAATGAAACAAAGCAACTTTTGTCGAAATAAATAATTCATAAAATTTGGTCAGAATTATGCCTTTTGTTTAGAAAATGACTTCCTTTCCGCTGGGATGACAGATTGATGCAATATGCCTCAATCATATCGGAGCTTTAAACTGTCAATTTTGATATCGGTTTATGATGTCTATTCTACTCGGGCACTTTTGTTAAATAAATTGACGATTTATTACAAATGCCCTCAAACGATCGGTCGCACCCTTTTAGATTACAATTGAATTCCAAAAGGCGGATTTTCTCAGTTGTGGCAAAAACTGTCGGGCGCCCGTGTGGATTCCAGAAATGGAAGCTTGATTTCATTCAAATTTATTTTTGCCTTCTCTCATCCGCTTTTGCTTTTTTTCTTGGTCTCTCCATGTCTGCTGGTGTTGACTTCTGGTGGCTGGGGGGGGTTGGGGGGTGCGAGTGCGCTTTGGCTTCCAAGCGGGGACGCACGCCCACAAGTCTCTAAAAAGTGTCCTTGTGACTCTTTAATTTAATTGAGTTATTGGCGTGAGTGCAAGCCTTTTTTTTTTTTTTTTTTTAATGATTTTTGGGGGGGCCTAACTAATCCGCATGCTTGTCGCTGGTTCCTGTCCCTAACAGGGGGTGTCATTTGATCAAGTCAATAATCTGCTGATTGAACCTGCTCGAATTGAGGAGGAAGAGGTCTGTACCTTCGCTTTCCTGTCTACTCTTTTGCTCACCCCGCCTGCCCACTCACTTGTAAATGCCACTGAAAATCCAGGACGCAATCAAAGCAAATCACTCGCGCTATCCGGTGAGGGTGGCAGAACCTGAAAGCAGAGGCAAACGTCTTTTTTGTTCACCCTTCGTTGTCGTGTGATTACGAATAGCTCAGTGTCAAACACCCCCAAAATATTAACTCGCACACAAAAAAAAAAGCCCAAAAACATTTTGGCGATGAGCTTCATGTTCTGCCACCTTTCCTGCCATCTTTCCTGCTTGCCGCCGCTTTGCTGCTTGTTTTTGGCTTTTCCTCATTTGCGTTGTCTCCTCCCGCAAATGGATGACCGACCCGGTCTGGACGTCGTTCTCCACAATTTTGTTTTGGTTTTTTGGGGTTAAATAGGCACACTGAAAGAGAACAACAAACCCAGCGGGACGAACGCAGATGCTCCCTTCCTTTTGAATTGAATGATTCGAATCAAATTGTGTGTGCTGTGTGTCTTTTAGCGTCTCATTGTTTTGGTTTTTTGGGGGATATGTCGAATGGATTTTTCAACGCCGCAGCATGGTTCTTTTAGTCTTGTGCATAGTCCTAGAATATACTTTTCTTTACTCTTCCTTTACGCCCTTCCTATTTATGCATGTTTTGTGAGCATACATGGTTAGGTTTGACAATATTTTATTAATATATTTACACTTCACAAAAAAAAAAAAAAAAAAAAAAAAAGGGGATATCAGAGTTTGGGGTGAAATTTTAGAATGAACCAAAAATGCATTGTAATTGTTCCAGTGAACTTAGTTTGACCTTTTCTTCACTTTTCAACACGCAACTGCCAGTTCAATGTTTCAGGACATTTTTTGATCAAATTGCTGCACGGCAACAAAATCCACAACGGGTGTCATCAGGATGAAGGCAAAAAAGTGAATGGATTTTTTTTTTTTTTTTTTTTTTTTTACATATCAAAAGAGATTTAAAAAAGGGACTATTTCTGTTGTAAAGGTAAACAAATACCATTTAAGGACAAAGTATTGCAAAATAGTCAACTGCTCTCCCTGTAAGTCATTTATTGTTCTAAGTCTGAAGGGACCACCAAAAAAAAACCCCAAAAAAAAACCCCAATTATTTTTCTTAATTAATCAGTTATCAGAGTTTTATTCTGTCAAATATTCGTTTCAGCATCAGCCCATCTCGGTCCATCTGTATTCAGATATTTAGAGAAGGTCAAATGAAGTGTGTTATAGTTCATTTTCGGCCCATCCTAAAAAAAATTCACCCAAAAAACTGAATGTCCCCAACTTTTCATGAGTGGTGTATCTCACATTTTAATTTTTTTTTTTTTTAAATCCGCAAGATTACGTAATGCACATGAATCCCTCTGAAGAGCGCTTCCAAAAGCAAAGATGATAACATTTGTGTCTGTAGTGGAAAAAGGCTTTCATCTTAATCTAATCCATTTGCAGCACACTTTAACCATCCTGCGGCAAACGGGCGGCCTCGGCATCAGCATTGCTGGCGGGAAAGGGTCCACGCCGTACAAGGGGGACGACGAGGTCAGACCCACTTCCTGGCGAGCACACACCTAAGGGTACTGGCGACGTATTTAATATTTTTTTTCCGTTTGACTTCAGGGGATTTTCATCTCCAGAGTTTCTGAAGACGGTCCGGCTGCCAGAGCAGGAGTGAAAGTGGGAGACAAACTGCTTGAGGTAGAACAGTTTTCAAAAAAAAATATATTTTTTTAATAATATTTGCCAACACTTTGAAAAATACTGTGTCCACATCCCAGCGTGATAACCAACATGAAAAGTTTTATTCCTAAAAATATTTAATATAATTGTGATATCATTTTAAAAAATATATATTTATACCGTGCTTAAAATACGGGAGGAACTACTGATATAATGCTTCGATTCAAATACGAAATGTACGTAAATGTATGTCTTCAGATCAAACTCGAGGCCCGGGGGCCAGATGTGGCCCGCCGCATCATTTTAAGTGGCCCGTGAAAGCGAATCAAAGATGACAACCACCACGATGCTTGCTAAAATCTGGACCAAAATTTCACATTTTCACGTGTCATAAATCAGTGACATATTTTGTCAATATTTTCTTGTTACCAAACCCCTCATTCCAGTTACTTCAGCAATAATTGAATAAAACGTTATTCTTGACTTCTTGATATAGTTTCAATCAGAACGGCAATAATGTGGCCCACGACAAAAATGAGTTTGACAAGCCCTGCTCTAGATGTTTAAAAGCAAACATTTCTGAAAAGATTCAATGCAAATGTATAAAAAAAGTTAAATACAACTGAAGTGTACAGTATTTAAAGTAAAAATGTATTACACTTGGTTTAAGAAACCTTAAAGTCATGGTGACATTATGCACAGTTTAAACCGTTTGCTGAAATGTAGGAGAAAAAATATATATACAGTACTTAAATGATTCACAAAATTTGTAGTTAAAAAAAAAGTTTAAGCCACTGTAACATTCCGCACATTTGGAATATTACCACTTCACTTGAACATCGGAAATTAACCAAAAAGTACTTAAATTGCGATTCATTAAAAATTCAACTTTGCGCACGATCCCAGGTGAACGGCGTCGACCTCTACGAGGCCGAGCACCACGCAGCCGTGGAGGCCTTGCGCGGCTCCGGGGCCGCCGTCTCCATGACGGTGCTTCGCGAGCGCATGGTGGAGCCGGAGAACGCCATCACGACCACGCCGCTCAGGCCCGAGGACGACTACTTCCCGCGGGAGAGGCGCAGCAGCAGCAGCGGGCTGGTCTTCGAGGCCGGCCACGGACAGGGGGGCGGGTTAGGACCCCTGCAGCGCCTCTCCGCCTGCCTGGTGCGCAACGACAGGGGGCTGGGCTTCAGCATCGCTGGAGGGAAGGGGTCCACGCCGTACCGTACCGGGGACACGGTGAGACCACTTGGATTTTTTTACAGTTGATCTCAATTGTGTTGCGTGTCTGCC